GCTTAACACTTTACAAGCATCCATAATAATTGATACAACAATATGAATATATATGTTCTCAAAGTTGAAAAAATTGGGACAAATCTTAAACCTCGGTGAAGGTTATTTCCGGTTCTTCCCTGGAACATTTATATAACATTTTTCTCCAGGGAAGATATTTATTTACTACACATATAATACCTGATTTCTTAAGATGTTTCCCACACCTTGTAGTCTCTGCCTTCGACGGCTATAGACCAGTTCTTAGATCCGCTCGGTGGTTCGTAATGCCCTGGTCCGATCTTCATTGCAACCTTTCCATCTATTATAGCTGCATACACATCTCTCTCCACCTTGTCTATTTTCACCTTTATAATTCCCAAATTAAGAAAACAAAGGAAGCTGATTTAAGACCTTATCGGATTTTCGTAAAATATGTTTAAAAGATTGCTGGTTTACCTCACTCCGACAGTGGAGTTTTTGTCTGTTCCGAAGAGAGATAAGAGAAGCAATCTCAGAACGGTAATCCGAGAAGATATGGTCGAAGAAAACTGCTGGTGTTCCTGGATGAGTCAGTATGTAAGCATATCCTTGCATTTCCTTCCCTCCCGGAAATCTCCAATGTCCCTTTAATCAAAAGATAAACAATCCGTTAAGACGATTCATACACAGAAACTTGGAGTGATGAATATCGGTGTAAAACAAGAAACCTGAGTAGAGCCAGTGTCATGATTCTCTATGAATGTTACAGCACGAGAAGGCCACCATCCAACTACACCTGGAGGTTTCCCTTTCGGATCTGAGAGTCTCCAGTATTCACATTTTTGAAGCACCTACACGCAAGAAAGCTTACTACATCTCATACACCCAAACCTAATGTTGTATCAAACGGCTACAAGATGTTGGAACGATGGACATTATGGTTGTGTACCGTATGAAGAATTCCTTTGGTTGTGACATCAAATGCACCGGCAGCTCCACTGGTTGCATTAATCCAGTCAACAATTCTTTGACGATGTGCGTCTTGATTGTAGTCCATTTCTCCATAGGTGTAACTTAGGGAATCCCAATATTCACCAACCGCAAAGTACGGTTTGCTAGCATCCATATAGTCTTTCACATAACCTCCCCAAAACCCTCTTACAAAATCAAGCCTCCATCCATCATACCCAACTTCTTCTCTGCTCGTGAATCGAAAGAAATACCGATTGTAATCAGACACCAAAACCAACCGGCAGAGATTAAAAAAATGAATCAAGGGAGCTAACCTCATCCAGCATAGCCATTCCTTGATATCCTTCCTAACAAAATCCTGCGAGTGATCTATGTTTGGAGCAGCATGGAAATTATCTCCACTGCTTTTGTTTCCTCTACCCTGAATCAATGTATTAGTTGATTGTACCGTCAAGGGTAATAGAGATCATAAGCACCTCATCTCCCTCAAAACATTAGCCGAAAATAATAATACGGCAGCATATATGTCAGCAAGAACCACATTATCTATGATAGATTTTGCCATTTTTTTGTTGTAGCTATAACATTCAAAGTTCTATTTATTTTAACTCCAAAGAAAGCAAAAACATACCTGAAAATGAGGATCGTCTGCAACTACTGCCCTATCGTCCCAGTTCAGACGACCTCCAAATAGATTCCATACACCATTTTGATTCTTGAAGTGTGCACAGCGGTGATTCAAAACAGCATCGCCCAAAACTTTGATCCCAACCTTGTGAAATTTCCTCACGGTCTCTTTTAGCTCATCAATAGTTCCGTATCTGAAAGTTTGCAACAAAAAGGGGGAAACAGGTATTTCAGATGCATGCGATTATTTGTCTTATCTGACACACACTACCACTGGATCATGCAACTGTCATAAGTATTGTTGATCTCCTATGAAAATCACATTTCCGTTGCTAGCTGATCATGCATTTTGAAGACAACAAAAACAGCATTCAACCGGAGGTTATTTAATCCCACTTGAAGATTTAACAACCTTAGGTTCATGACGACGTTATAAGCAACTAAGCTACAATAGACAGTTAGAAAATTATAAAATTGCAGAGCTCACCTGGAATTCAAGTTATACAAGTCTTTAGGCATGTACCCTTCAGGTGACACAGATTCTGTCGGAGGAGGTAACCACAGAACAGTGAAGCCAAGTGAAGCTAACTCATCAGCTTTATCTTGAAGTTCCAAGTACCATCTCCCAGATTTATGAGATTCCCAGTTGAATCCCTGGCATAATATCTCAAATCCAGAGCCAGTTCCTGAAGAGATTTTAATTTCAGGCTTTTCTGCTTCTGCTTCTAAAACACTTTCCACGGCAAAAGCTGGAGTTGTGCTTCTAAATATGCTATATGCCTCCGCAGCAAGTTTCTCAATTTCTTGAAGGATGTTTTCTTGCACTTCTTTGACTTTTGTCTTCTGATTCTTGTGAGAGGAAATGTCAATTGCCAAGTTCCTTATCTCAGTGATGATTTCATCAGTAAATCCACTATCCGACACTTGTTGATTGGTTTTTCGTGTGTTTTCACTCGCTTGAGCAGCTTCAGTTTTAACGGACAAGCTACTTGAGCTCAAGAAAGGGACATAGAAGTCTTCGCCCCTATAATTTAACCAAGTATTTTCATTTAACTTAAGAACAAAACAAAATCCTTCTAGCTCTCCATCCAGAGAGAATAATCCAAAAGATCCATTACCATCGTCTTTTCGCTGCAGAATGTTCATATGCATAAACAGTTAGATACTGTCACTGATGGAAAGAGAAAATAATCTAACAGGAAAGGTAAACAAAAGAGTTAGATCCTTTGCTGACAACATGAAAATGATCTCTAGGTGCCTACAATAATATAAGCAGCAGCAAAGACATAGTGCATAAAAAAGAGCCAAATGAAATGCCTACGCATTAAAAGTATGCAAACCAAAGGAAATGCCTACCAGGGTCAGGGTGCATCAAAAACAAACAAAAGAAAAAGAACCGAATGCGTTTTGCGAACGACCCTAATGCTAAGTTAAAAAAACCAGGCCTGCACAATCTGCAAAATGCTTAGACTGTTGCCAATACGGCAGGTGCTAACCAAGAACTAACTGAATCCCACAGACTTAAATAAGATAGACACAACACAAGTGATTATTGCCAGATTTTCAAATCTGAAATTTTGAATCTTGCCAAGGAACATACTTCTACACTTACCTGTAAACGAGTGCGTAATGCCTTGTTCTTAAACAAAGATGTTTCTTCTGGGTAAGGTTCAGCAGGAATTTCCCATTTTTTACTGCCATTTTTGCAAACTCCCCAGTGGACAGTAACTTCACCCGGTAGATCAGTGTCAATCGATACAATGTTCTTAGATGTTTCAGGGCATTTCCTTGCAATGACACTGACTGAGTTATCATCAGCAACACGTTTACTAATTGGCATCTCCTCGTAAAACTCTTCAAGACCTTTTGTTTCTTTTGTAAAATCAGATGAGCTCTTGCTCTTTTCTTCAACTTCTTCACCGGACTCATCTGGTTTGAGAAGGATGTTTGAGAGCTGCCCAAGGGCTCCTAGAATCCAAGAGAAAGAAATCTCAATCAGATTTGGAGATTTAAGGAAATGGGCAGCTCCTAGAATCCAAGAGAAAGAAATCTCAATCAGATTTGGAGATTTAAGGAAGGTATGTTGCAATACTAACTTCTCGTTAAGTCAGCTGATTACTTAAGCATTAATTATACATCGTTAAAAAGGAACCAGGAATTAGTTATACACATACAAAGGTGAAAGAATGCTCAAGTATCAGAATGCAAAACCTGTAGTCTGGACTCAGAACAATAGATCTATATATCTAGCATAAAAAGTAGTCAATGTCGAAAAATATAAGAAACCTGGCAATTTACCAAAGCCTTTCTTTGCTCCAATCAAATTCCCATTATCAGGAACATTGTCCACAAGTGGAACCTTAAAATCTCTTCCTTTGTGCTGATACCATGCCCCAGTTTCTTCGTCCTGGAAAACAACAGTCCCACATAAAAGCACGTCTAAGGACAAACAAATAATCAGCTTTGATGCAAAGGGTTAAGCAGCAGAACCTTCAAAACAAAATTGAGAGCTGCTACTGAGCTTTCCAGATTTAGATTAATAGTAACTTCATAAAATGAATCTCCTTCAGATAACTTCTTCAAAGGTGTCTCTATAGCATAGTCCTGATACAACATAACAAAAACTGTCTACAAGTATCCAAAGTAAAGATTAACCAAAAGGGAAAACACCGAGTAGTAGTAAGTACCTTGATGGCAATTGAGCCAGGTGGTCTCATATCTTGCGGAGGTTGATCCCATTCACTGTCAAATTTAAAAACATCAAAAAGAACACAAATTTCCCCATTAATGAAATGACAAATGAGGAAACCAAAAAAAAAAAAAAGTAGAAAGGCACCGTGGAAGGACCTGCCAGTATCACCCACATATGAAACTCCCCAATGAATAATCCATTTCCCAGGAAGACTACATCCAACACTCAGCTGCCAATTCTTCTCCTTCACTTGTTTCAATCGAACGTATATCTTCCCTTCTGCCTATCGTTTCCAAAATCGAAACAAGAACCATAAAAATTCAGCAAAAAGCACACATAAAAACCAAAACCCTATGATCTCAAGCATCAAATCCATGAATCGACTCAGTCCAACTAACAACAGCACGAAAACTAAATCGACGCAGTCCAATTTCAGACCCCAGAATTAAGCTAGGCTTGCGAAAAACCGGTAAATGTGTGTTTCAGGGGATTGAGAAAAACCTTTTCGATTCGCTGAACGGGGAAATTTTCCTTGAAGACGACATCATCGGATTGAGAGGTTTCGACGACGGCAGTATCGGATGAGCTAGCTCGAATCGCGACGAACTTTCTACGCTCCGAGCTGCGAAACCCCAAGCTCGTCCCCGAAACGACGCTTCTTCCAATCGAGTGTAGTTTCTTCGAAGTGAAATGACAACGGAGATTCAACGAAGCAGGCCAAAAGCCAGTAGCTCCACGATTGTGGCGAAGAAGAGAAGAATGGTGGAGAAATGGCTCAATAGGAACCGTGGACATTGCAAGCTTCGTGTGATCG